GCACGCCTACGCGCTCTTCGCCCTGGTCCGCAAGAGCCCGGCCGCCGCGCTGGACGTGCTCGCCCGCTCGGTCGGCCAGTTCCTGACCCCGGGCCCGGAGGGGGCCAAGGAGCTCGCGCTGCCCCTCGCCACCGTCCGCTCGGTCTTCCACGCGCTTCTGCACCTGCCCGCGCCCGAGGGCCAGGCCCCGCTGCGTCTGGCCGCCACCAGCGGTACGACTGGGCGCCCTCGAGTTTCTCTTCTCTCCTCTTCCCTTCTTCCTCCACTGCTGTGGTTTTGCCTTGTGTTCTCATTTCGACCGTTGTGTTCTTGCGTGTGTGCGTGTGTGCGTGCGTGTGTCGTATGCGTGTGTGCGTGTGTGCGTGTGTGCGTGTGTGCGTGTGTGGTCGCCGCACAGCAGTGAAGGACCCGGAGCGGAACGTGCACTTGTGGCAGAACTTTTGCCTGTTCGAGAGCCTGTACGGCGCCTCCACGGCCAGATCTGCCTTCGAGGCCGCGCTCTCCGCCCTGCCGACCGCCTCCGACCGCCTGCCCATCTGGCACCAGTACGTGACTCAGCTCTCCCCTGACTTGGCTGTGACGTTGGTCGTGGCTGTGTCGTGTCGTTTGGTCGTGTCGTGGTCTCACCCGCCCTTCGCTCTCCAGGTACGTCGCGCTTCGTCAGGGAATCGAAGGCGCCGCCGGCGTGCAGAAAGTGGTGGACCTGCTTTCGCGCTGCTTCTCGGACGTGGCCACGCCCGCCGCAGCTCCGCTCCCTCAGCAGCTGCAGAGCCTTCACCCCTACGCCCGGAAGGTCATTCGCGACACCGCGCCCATGGTCCGTACCCACACTGCGTCGACTCCGCCCAGCCCAGCCAAGCCCAGCCCAACCTAACCCTCGATTGCGTGTGTGCGCGTGCGGCGCAGTCCTACGCATGGCACGGCCTGTTGCTGGAGTCTGCGCTGGCCGGTCTGCACCCGACGCAGCGAGGACCCGTCCAGCGTGCCGTGCTGCAGATCATCCCGGCCTACACGCTCCTCTCGTTCTCGTACGCTCTGTCGCCCCCCCTCTTCTCTCTTCTCTCTTCTCTC